TCTTGAACTTGCACATATATGTGTAGGCTCTGTACTACCCTAGAGCTGGATGTTCTCTTCTGAATTATGTGATGCAAATCAGAATCTGTGCATCTGTGACTCAGTATCCAGCACATTCAGGGTTTAATTAAAGAAATTMTATTTCCTTTCACTTCTGGAGGCTCTTTATGGTAGAGGTACCCCTCACAATAAAGCAAGATTCATTCCTTCTGCTTTTAAAGTCRCATTTTTAAGAAGTTTAAAAAAGTTTAGGCCCCAAATCTATCCTTCATTGAATCCTATAGCCTATCATAGAAATTGAAAGAGAGGAATTKTCATGTTACATGTGGGTTTATTCTGTTTGTTACAGTGAACAGCACAATCCACTGGATTGGTCTGTGAAATGCAAAAGCTGGAAAATACCTAAAGGACAATATAAAATGACAAAACTAATTTTAATTTTTAAATGGTTTCATTCATTCCTTATACAGTGAGCAAATAATAAACAACAATCTGACAGCACATTTTTATATTTCAGTCTCTCCTTAAAGAAGAAAAAATGCTTCAGAAGGATAATACTAGAAGCATTCTGTATTTCCAAAATTAAGTATGAAAGGCAGATTATCTGGGCATGTCTGAAAGCTATGCATAACCTTTGCGCTACAAATATCTCATTTCAAAAATGTCATATTCTCCTTATTCAGTAGGACTTCCACAGGGCTATTTTAAGTACTGTGCTTCTTGCTTCAAGATGAGAACTGGAATTCCTAGAGTTGCATTTCTTGTTTCCCTTAAAGGTTGTTAGAGCCAGATAATTGCTTGGAAGGAGTGCTCTACTAAACACAGGGAGTTCCTGCCCAAGCAGCGGGAGCTCTGTGAGATTCACTTTTGTTTGCAAGGTTCATTGTGCCTCCAGTTTATCAGCTGTGATAGTTTGGGTGGCTCTGATGCAAACAAGGAGGTGCCAGCCCAACACTCCAAGCTCCCGCAGCCAGGGCATAGGACAGAGGATCATGGAGAAAGGGCTGGGCATCATCCCCTGAGCTCCTCCCATGTGCTCAAACTCCTCCCAGGCCTGGTGCTCTCTTGTGTTTGTGTGAGTCTGTAATAGAAGCMCTCAYGAGAGGTTTSTGATGCAYTTTGAGATGGGTGTTTAAGGGAAGTTGCACCTGGCAGGGAAAGAAACAGTTCTCACTTTCATTTCTTCCACTTAGCTTTGGATCTCTGTGTTCTGATGTACAAGTGGTAGAGTCTCAACACAAGTTACTGGCAACAGTTTCATCAAGGACACAGTAATTCATGTTGAAAAGCACTTAATTACTCCATGTTTAGAGCAGTCAACACGGCTGTATGTGTATCACCAATATGCCAGCGTGGTTTGCTTTTCATGGAAGTTTATGTTCCCAGCAGGCACYGAATGCTTTTTCTGCCTGATAAATGTCAAGTACTTTAAGCAATCTTGCCTGTTCCTCTCTGGAGACTGCCAAATAATCTCCTTTCAYTGGGTATGGGATCTTGCCAGGGCTTCTGCATTCATGCACATCTATCCCTGCCAAAAGTTGGCAACACAGGAAGWGCACAAACACTCCCTGCTCCTTTCATCAGCTTTGTTCAGCTGCAGGATTCCTGTTTCTTTTCTCTGTTGTTCTGGGTTGGAGCAGTTCATGGTCCATATTCCATTAACAGGTGTGCTGTAGAGTTCAGCCCTTGCCATGGAGCTGTGCTTCAGAGTAGAAACTTTTATAAAATAAATATGTCTTGTGTGATAGCCTTCTTAAACCTAATTCAGATTGCTGTCCTYCTGAAGCTGTGGGAGTTCCCAATAGGTGTGAACAGCTCCTTTGTTTCCAGAGATGATATAAAGGTTCCTTTGTTGTTTATTCATTTACCTGTGTATTTTCTCTAGGAAGTCTTATAACAGAAAATGTCCATGCTCTGTGCAGCATATAGAAGGTACTTTTTTACCTTTTAATGTATATATAATATTTAAACTAATATTAATTTAAACTTAAAATAATTTAAATTTTAAAAAAATTAAATTATTTAGTTTAAATTTTTTAGTTTGAAAAGTCCACTTTGTCAAGAAAGGAAAAAGATCTCTGTAACTCACCACATCCTGGAAATAGAAGGTTTAGTAAAATGAACTGGGGAAAATGAAAAATGCTTATATAGAAGATGGAAAGTAAACCACTTTGTCATATTTTACTCTGTCTCATACAGCGAGACTGGGTCATTTGACCTTTGTGTTGATAATGTCACCAATACATTCTAGGCCAATACCACATATCATGCAATGGCAGATGAGGCTCTGTGTGTCACTGTGGTACATAATTTCAACCCATGCAAAAATACAAGACTAAATTGCAGAATGTCAATYGCTTTGCCTTGACATTTCTCATTTCCTCGTTTGTAATGTTATAACCTGCTGATGTTGTACATGGGAATTCCAACACCTAAGGATGGGTTTAGACCATGTAGCAGAACTTCTTCATTTGGATAAAAATTGTGAAAATGGAATGAAGGAAGAGAAGAATGTGCTTTTTCTAGGTTTTGCRACCACTTCTGCCTATTTTTAGATAAAAATGACAGTTACCATTAGTCTTGAATGAGCACAGCACAAGAGCAACTCAGCTTTTAATTATTTTGTCCATCGTTAACACCCATCCAGATAAAGATATCAAAGAGTGGGATTGTGGCTGTAAGACAGAGCACATTCTCAGTGTGACACCTGTGGCACAGAAGATGTAAAAGGCAGCACTGGGAGCAGGGACYTGGGGAAGCAGAGGAGCAGGAACTGTTTCTTTCTCAGGTATCTATTAGAGATGGCAGCAAGATGCACAGGGAACTGAAGACTGTGAGTCGCCTCTGTGTACAAAACATGWGATTTTCAAATGCAGCTAAAGTAGAGTTCAGGTCATGTACAATATGTTCACAAATGATCAGGCAGTTTGTGCCAGTTTCATTGACTGTCTCTTCATTTTAATGACAGCAATCTGAATAAGATTGCTTCTGACAGGGTTGTAAATCAGATTAACAGAGGTTGGAGAGAGGACTGAGATCAAGTTTATGCTAGTAAAATATATACAAACATAATATACAAATAAGAGACTAGGCAGAAATGAAATTATTTAGCTGGAAGCASACGAGAAAAATCTGCTAGTATTGTCAAATACATCACAAGTAATATTTTCTGCAAAGCCCAAATGATTCTGGTAGCCTACATCTTATTCCCAAAAGTCTAGCCTAATACATTCAAGAAAATTAATTTGGGTTAATTAAAAAGACAAATTTAAAATGCATTAGGATATATCCACACAGTAAAAAACTATCAAGCTACCAAACACTCTTATCTGTGGTAGCTTTTGCATGTCCCTAGCCTGCTGCAAAGTGGAACACATTAATTGGAACCATCATGAAAGTATAATATAATTTTTTGAGTCTTTTTGTTCTTTTAATTCTGGCAGAGTTCTTTTGCTTTTTGAATTGTTGTACCTTAGTTATGTATTAAGCTTAAACAAATGCTGCTGACAAAGAGTGGTCTCATTACTTCATATATGTACACATTCAAAGCTCCCTATTCCTGAACAAAACTTGTTTATCKTTTGCCTTTACTGCTATGCCTTGTGGGAATTGAACAGAAGTTATTTAGCAGATCAAAGCAGAAGTGTGACAAAGTGGTAACACTGTTTGAATCCTCCTCTGATAGTGACCAAATCACGTTAGTAAGATGCTTTATGCAGGAGTTTTCCAGCTCTGAGCCAGCATCCTCCCCRACTCAAAATGCTTTGAGCTGGCAGAGCACTGCTGGCCTTAGGAATATGTTGAAGACTGCATGTTTAAGGGGTTTCAACTCCATGAGCGCTGCCTTCCTGGTTMAGCGACAGATGTTTGCTGGTTGTTTGCTGATGGGTCAGCAGAAGGTGTCTGGGAATTTCTCTGAGCATTAGTTCAGTTGGCAGATATGCAGTAGTGATTTCTGAAAAGCAACCAATGTGTTTGCTTCAACTGGGAAACTTACTAGTGAGGTACCAATTACCTTCTAGAAATATAAGCTAGGTTTAGTGTWTGTCATAAATTTTGTTTCTGAACAAGTTTGTTGAGTCTGCTTACAATAAAAACTGACTTTACTTAAACATTTAATGAGGCATTTTATTAACCCTAACATTTAATGAGATGTTTTATTAGCTCTTTATGCAAAATGAASAAAATGCAATTTGCATTAGTTTCTTTATTGTATAATTCATAATGMATAATTTCCAAGAAACCCTTGACCTCTCATTTCAAATGAATTTCATCACAATGTTTTGATTTATAATTTCAAAGACTAAGTTTCTATAAAAAACCTGCATGGAAAGGATCTAAATCCATGAGATACTTTGTTATTCTTTGATTTTATAGAAATCTCATTAACAATAGAATAGAGTCCAGATAAATCACTMGGATTCTCTCAATAGCAGATTTTACACTTTGTATATGAGTATTTTCTTTCTCAGTTAATGCTGAGACAATTGGTGTGCTTTATGCAAGAAGTTACTATAAATGAAAAGGTCTTCATTCATCCCTTTGTCACTGCAGAGTTACATCACCGTCATTCCTGTATGACTGTCCAGGATCTTAACTGTTCTCTTGGAGCCAAAGAGAGCTCATTTTGATACTTAGTGCTCTGTCTTTGGCAACTCTTTGGGTCTTTAAAATCCCACAGTGATATTTGAAAAGCATAATATTTAAAAATGGAAAGTCCCCTGTCCCAAAGAGTTTGGGAAAGAACAGATGTCTCGGGGGAAGGGAAGTGCTCACTGGTTACTTAATACTGGAGTGTCAGAGCAYTCTGGGGGAAGTCTAGGAGTGTTTTGAGTAGAGAGTTATTTTTATAGTGTTCTATTGATGTAATACCAGAGAAAACCAGCAACAAGCTGGTCCCAGAAAATACATTCCAGAATTATGACACTGTAACAGAGATCCTGTTGTTGACAAAGTGTGTTACAGGCATCTGACTAGTTTATGTTTTGTTCTGTTTTCAGTGTCAGCCAAACCAAGACCTCACAGTGATGAGTACACAAAGAAGATTCCACCTCCTAAGCCGAAACGGAACCCAAACACTCAGCTAAGCACATCCTTTGATGAAACATATATCAAAAAGCATGGCCCTATGAAGACAACACTCACTAGGGATGCCTCGCTATCGCAGGTCAGCAGTCCTGCTCCAGACACAGAGGAAGAAGAGCCTGTTTATATTGAAATGGTTGGGAATATTCTCAGAGACTTCAAAAAAGATGAGGATGACCAAAGCGAAGCAGTCTATGAGGAGATGAAATACCCTATATTTGATGACGTAGGCCAAGATTCAAAGTGTCAATGTGAATATGACCATCACACTTGTTCTTCTCAGTGTGCTACTCCCACAGTGCCTGACCTAGATTTCACCAAGTCTTCAGTGCCATCTACTCCCAAGGGCTTGCTTTGTGATATACCCCCGCCATTTCCAAACCTGCTTTCTCACAGACCTCCACTGCTGGTCTTCCCACCAGCACCAGTGCAGTGCTCCCCGAATTCTGACGAGTCTCCTCTCACTCCACTAGAGGTCACAAAGCTTCCCGTTTTAGAAAATGTGTCTTACATCAAACAGCAAGCTGGAGCTTCTCCATCTTCCCTGCCTCCTCATACCCCAGGCCATCAAAAACTGGAGAAAGACCAGACAGTATCTCATGGAACTAGCACYCCTGGGCACACCTCCTCACCTCCTCATCCTTCTACCTTGTACAGAACGCAGTCTCCACATGGGTATCCTAAAAGTCACTCTGCCTCACCTTCTCCCGTCAGTATGGGTAGGTCTCTTACCCCCTTAAGCCTCAAAAGACCTCCACCTTATGACTCTGTACATTCAGGAAGTCTCTCAAGAAGCTCTCCATCAGTGCCTCATTCTACAGCCAGAAACACATTGCAAGAAGGAGGAAAGATGGTCAGTGTCTCAGTCAGCACCTACGGGTCATCATCTCAAAGCAGTTCCCGTTCTCGGACGCCCACCAGTCCTCTGGAGGAACTAACCAGCCTCTTCACCTCAGGACGAAGTCTCTTGAGGAAGTCCTCCAGTGGCAGAAGATCTAAGGAACCTGCAGAAAGTAAGTCCTCAATGTAATTTTTCCCTGTTTTTCTCTGTAGAATAATACCTGACATAAAATACCTGTAAATAATATATATTATTAATATAATTATACCTGTAAATAATATATAAATTATAATACCATAAAACATAGACATAAAATACCTGTATTTTACTAGATCAAGTGCTTGCAAAAATTAAATATCTCAGAAGTCTGAATTCCTTACATAAATTTTGTGTAACTAAAAGAAAACGATTGCTGAAATCATTTCAGTCTTAATCTTTATTATATTTTCAAGCTTTTTAAGTAAGAATGCTGCACTGTAGAGTACAATTCATGGCTTCATCTTGCAAAAAGATGAAGTTTTCATTAATTTTTCCATGACTGTAGAGATTCCGTGTGAGTTCAGATCTTCCCAGCATGTCACATCCTTCCTTTCTTGATGGATGTTAAGACAGTTTTAGCTGCTTGTAGCAGAATAACCACACAGTTGCTGTTGAGGAGTATTTGCTAAGATCCACTGATCTCCCTTAACTTGGCCAGCAGTCCTAGAAAATATTATGGCAACCAGAGGTACCAGCCTAACCTTGGTTAAGCCTTGGTCAAAGGTTAAGGTCGATGATCTTGGAGGTCTTTTCCAACCCAAATGATTCTGTGATTTGCTGTAAACCATGCCTCTCCTGCTGTGCCATGGATTTTCCTTTCAKCTGGATTGGTGTGACTGGTTGGGAGGCTGTGCTGTGAATTGATCTAAAAACCAACATGACCAATGCACATAACCTATAAACCTGCACAGGAAGGAAAGCACAGAAGAAGGCTGTGAAGGCAAACCTTAAGCCAATATTGATTTGTCATATGCTGTGTCATAAAATTGATGTTCCATATGCATTCAGTATATATGTTTGTACACCATGTACACGATGTACTTCTGAGCTGGTGAAATATGGAAAGTCCTATAATCAACAGGAGTCACATGTGTGAAAGCAGAACCTGGCACCAGTATTTCTGTTGCAAAAGTGTTCCTGTTCAGYGGGTGTCCTGCAGTGGAAGGTCATTCTAACACCTCCTGTCACAGTGCAAAGCAGACTTGGGATGCCTTCTCCTCCATTTCAGTAAAATCTGTTTATGACTGAATTCTTGACACCTGCCTAATGGAAAAGCTGTCTTTGGAGAGCAGCTGATCTCATGTTTGTGTAGGTACTGAATTATGGCTATTGACAGCTCTAACTTATTCAGTATGGTATGATAAGCTGTGCTGATTTATACCTGATAAAGGAAACTGTTCTGGTTTCCAGGATACCGTATCAGCACTGAAGAGAAGTGAATTCTGCACTGCGTTTCTGGTTGTGCTTGTGCCACTCTGTTTTGTCACTCATTGCAGTGTGGCACTTCGGGACGTGCTCACCAGGACATCCCCTCAGGGTTTCCGTGGGCAGAATTGTCTGCCTCACACTCTGCAGCTGAGTGAGGACATGCCTGTGTGTAAGAATGGAGAAGCTTGGTGGCAATGAGTTGGGTTGGCATAAAACACCTCCCTCCTGACTCATGRACCCCACTTCTCCAGCCTYGGTATTATTCTTATTTATCCCTGCACATATTAGGAATAAYRACTCTGCAGTCAGAAGGTGGAGGTGAGAATAGAATTAGTGAAATACTGAGAGTACTAGTTATTGCAGCAGTTTGCTTAATTTGCTTTTAGTATTTTCATAGCCTGCAGTCATTAATCCTGTTTTATGAAAGTCTCAGCTCCATGATTCATTAGGGTTTCATTAAKTGATTGCAGTAGTAAAATACAGTAACACCGGATTTGTGTGCTGGATGGAAGCAAGTTTATATCTAAAAGGCAAGATGATTTTTGTAATTGTGGACAATTATGAGGGATGTGATGTGACATTTACAAATAATTTCACTGCAGTGCTAGGGAGATTTTGSCAGATAATACTGAACATTATTAAACACGCTTCTTATTCATAAGTGAGCAGAAATCCCCTGTAAACCCCATGATACACCAGATCTACCCAGTGAAGTTTGTATGCTCACCWGTGTAACCAGGTTTGGAACCTGAAGAAATTCCTGAAACTTCTTGAATATTGCAATCCTGGGAAATTTCAGCATATCTGTGCTGCTGTCTCTTACCTGTCCCCAGAACACATTTTTTGTATTCTACTTGACTGAACTTGAATGCAAACCTTTCAAGGGAGTTTTCACTGATAAATTTAAACTGAATCTTGCCCTGCAGATCTGTACCAAGAACAGCTTTTTTTGACCTCTGAAGGAGAGCTCTCTTTGCTCCTTAGGAAGTAGAAATGTGCTCCTTATTTGCCACAAACAGTAACAAGAGAGATATGAAATTGAAATTGTGTTTATTTACTTTAAGAAAAACACATTCATGTTATAAATAAACGCCAGTGGTGAAAAGACCCTGAAGTGCAGCTGTGTTGAGTAAATGAACAGACTGCCCATCTAATCYGATTGTAATTTGTCTGGTATTTACAGTAGGACTTAATCCTGTGGGATTACTGCCCTGAGCAAGAACCAGGTTCATGTTCAGATATTACAGAGGTAGAAGACACTCTAGAAGATTTATAGAAAACATATTGGTCTGACATTTTATGTCTTGCAATTCTACATTGAAATGGTCCTCCATAAAGAATSTAAATTGGGAAATTTGAACATGGCTTTTGACCAGACTGCCACATTTACACGTCATGATTTACATGGGGACAGACAGGGAAGGCTGGGCTGCTCATCTGATGTGTTAAAGAAACTGTGCTCCTACAAACCACCCTGGAAGCCTAAGGCACTCACACTGTTCTGGGCTGGTCATTTGAAGCAGTGGAAGAGCAAATGCAGACTGAAACTAACTGGGAATGCCATGTCAATGTAATTTGTTCTCAGCATACAGAAAGATTTCCAGAATTTAGAGGATTATAAACACAAAAGAAAAAAAGGAAGTATATGACTCTTAAAAAGTCATGCTAGGAAATTAAGAATATTTGCTCCTAAAATATAAAACTATTCTGAGTACATCTCAAGCAACTTTCTCATTGAATCCTCCAAGACTCTGCCCCCTGTGGCTTTTCTGAAGTTCTCGCTACCATATGCTAGTATGAAAAAAAACCCACAATATGAAATTTTTATGTTCAGCTGAGTCTATTTGAAAAATACTTCAGCAGTTACAGAGATAATTGTCTCATCATTATGGTTACTGCAACTGACTTGGTGGAAATTCGGCATCAAAGTTCAAACTCCAAMTGTATTTGCTGGTTTTTAATTTGTGGCATTTTTGAGTGGGTTCTTTTTGGAGGAGGCAAGACTGCACAAAAATTATTTCCAGTCAAAAGCTTTAGTACACAAGCAAAGCTGCCCTTTTAGCCTTTCTGCATTATTTTCTTCATTTTTCTGCCATTTTTCCATTTTTATTCCACTCCTTTTTATTTCTTTAGGGTTCATTTGCATTATTGAGAAATTTGGATAAATCAGTGATAGTAAGCAGTCTGTCACCTCACACATTTTCTGAGGATATGAGCTTCCATTGAATCTCCAGAAATTGTTGAACACACTCAGCATCCAGTGGTTGCAGCTGTGATGTGCAAATCTGGATTTTATAAGCAGCACACTTACTGTCTTGTGTTCTAAAACACCTCTTGTATGTTGTTAACATCTTAAATATGCATTAGAGCACAATTATGAAAGTGGGGGGAAAAGAACAAAGAAAAGTAAATTGTACAGCCAAATAAAAAATTTAAAAATTGGTGAAACAGGATACAAAAAAAAAGGCAGAATGATGAAGCGAGCCCTACAGAAAAACAAAGAAAGGTATAGAACATGAAAAATGTGAAGGAGTGGAAAAGGTAGATATTATTAGTCACCACTGACTGTTCCTTAACCCTTCAGGTTTTTTTGTGGGATTAACCAATATGGCAGTGTGCCCTAGCACTTGGCAGACCCCTGTGAAATACAGTGTCAGTCCTCAGAGGTTAGAGAGAAACTGAAGGGTACCAACCCTGCCAGGTGTCCTTGGGCTGCTGCACTGTGCCCCTTCTGGTGCAGCTGGAAGGTGTTTACAGGCACTCAACGTGGAACCACGCAGTCCCTTTGTTGTCACTGTGCACGGAGTGTCTGTGCCACCTCTGTCCTTCAGAAAAGAGGGATTTATGGAYRGAGAGGAAGGGAATGRYCTTATTTTCCTGGAGCTGTATTTGCTGCTTCTGTCTTTCCTGCGCCATAAAAACCCGCTGTACTCCATGGGAAACTAGCACTGGAGTCATGTGCCTGGAGGCAAACCCACATCCTACAGAGCAGAACAGAGGCTGCTGTGCTTCTGCACTGCGCTGCCTTTCAGGCTGTGTGTGGCTCCAAGGCTTCCTTTGTGAGATGGTCCTGTAAATCCTTGTCAGTACCAGCCTTTCTTTCTGTRTATTGATTGTTTCCATTTGTTAAGGCTTCCGTTTCCTCACAGTTTCCTGGGAACTTCATGCCAGTTTCGAGTGATTATTGCAAACACTCACCCTTAAGGAGCAGCACAAGAGAGCAGTGACCTCAGCTGTGTGCCCTGACTCTGGATGAGCACAAGGTGTGAGATCAGAACAACTGATGCACGGTAGCTCAGAATTATTTTCCTGAGCTGCTCTGCAGGGTTTCAGGGCTGCTTTGGCTTTTGCCTGCACAAAGCTTCACTCTTCAGCTTCTAGGCACATATAGGGAGGAAATCTGTGGTTGTGCTGCTTTGAAAAATCAGTTATAGTGATTGAAAATTGGGATAATTATTGACATTTCCTGTTCCTGGCTGGTATCCACTAAATAAAGAATCTAAACCTATCAAATAGTGTGAGGAGAGGAGGGGCGCTAAAGTAGCTAACTTGTTAAAAAGGAGCTCAGGCTGCTGATATGTAGAGTAGATTTTTTTTTTTTTCCTCTTTTTTTTTTCTGTTGCTGCTTTCCCGGAAGCTAGAGAAGTATAGGATGTCCCATTCCTGGCACTGTTAAAGGCCGTATTGGATGGGGCCCTGATCTGG